TAAAGCATTACCTTTCCTAAAGGTATTAGAAGAATTAGCATCTAAAAGTATAACGTATTTAATAAGCAAGTGCTCTAGTAAAGCAAGTACTCTAAAAATCCCTTAACCTTACATCTAACTATTTAATTAATTAATTTCTAACTATTTAATATATTATAACCCTTAAATAAAACTAGGATTCTTCTTACTCTTTAGGCTATTTAAAATAACCCTAAACTAAGCCTATAATATACTATAGATATCTATAAAGTTAACTACTTTACTTTATATTACTACTAGATTAGTATTTAATTATAATATAATTTAATACTAAATTTATAGAAGCTATTTAATTAGAAAAAGAATATAATAGTTTAATTTATTCTTAACCTAGATTTATAAGAATTTCTTTTATAATTATATTTTATAAAAGAAATAGCTAATTCCCTTTTTACTAACTATAATATACCTTCTGTTAATATATACTAGGCTTATAACTTTATTAAGTAATAACTAAAGCTAAAGATACATTTATTTTAAAAATATAACTACTAAAAAGCTAAATATAAAAATCCTATAATTATTTATAGCTAGTTTTAGCTTATAGAGAATATAATTATAAAATATAGTATTTAATTAAATAATATCTAGAACTTTAATAAGATTAGCTTTATAATAGGTATTATATAGTTTAAAATAGTTATTATAAGCTTAGAAAGGTAAAGAAGATTAAAATTAGTATAGCTAAGAAACTATAAATAGATTACTATAATCTAGGTAATTAATACTAAAGGTTAATTAATCTTACTATTTATTATTAATATAGGTTAATATTACCTTATAAATTAGTACTAAGAATATAATCTCTTTAGTAATTAGGTTATTATATTAAGCTAAAATAAATAAATAAATAACTAGCTAGATCTTAATTAGCTAAAGTACTTTAATAAGTCTATAGCTAAGTAATTTATTAGTTCTTATTACCTTTTAATCCTTAATAGTTATAAAAGTTATTACTTTATTAAATTTAAAAAATATTATAAAAATAATAAGATTATTACTTTCTATATACTTACTTATATATCTTATCTACTTTAGCTTCTTAATATTAGGTATTTTATAGTACTTAAGAAGGTATATAGGTAAGAGATAAAGTATTTAATTAAATACTTTATAACTTACATTTCTAAGACTAAGTTTTTTAATACCTTTTATATTACTTTTAAAGCTACTTTTACTAAAAGTAATATATAAGAAGGCTTTAGAAAAGCTAAGCTTACTTTCTTTAACTTTAATTATATTATTTTAAAGCTTAATATATAGCTATAAACCCTATTACTTCCTAAGAAAGTAGCTAAACCTTCCTTTCCTTAGACTTTAAAGACCCTAATAATAGTAAATAAGGCTTAATCTTAAATTAAATACCTTAAGAGTTAAATTAAAAGATATTATAGTAACTCTCTAGAGTTAATTATTAAGGCTATTTAGTTTCTTACTAAGGTAGTAAAGAGAACTATATATAAGACTATTCTAATAAGAAATAAGATTTAAAACCTTTAAAAAGGAAATAAAAAGCTAAGCTAGTACTAAAGGTTAAAAAGAACTAAACTATAAAAAAAAAACCCTATAACTATAGAGAAAGTATTATAAGTAATTAATTAGATAGATATTAATATATAAGTAGTAAGTAAGTTATTAAAAAGTAGTAATTAAGGAAGGTTAGTTAAACTAGGTATTTAATAATATAGTATATATAGTAAGACTAGGTATAATATAAGGATCTATTAGGTAGTTCTAAAGGTATCTAGAGAAGAGTATAGTAAGTAATTTTAATTAATTAGATAGGTTATATTACTTTTATTAGTAATTAAAAGATAATAGCTAGGATTTTTAGAGTACTTGCTTTACTAGAGCACTTGCTTATTAAATACGTTAATAGATAAAATAATTTAGTCACTTTATGCTAGCTTAGACTAGCACTTAGGCTGCTTTATTATAAGGTAGCCTAAGTCTTAGAAGATAATTCTTCTTTTATACACCTGCCTATACTCGCGTCTGAGTTCATAGATTATTCTCAAGGGAACTTTGCAAGAACAGGTAAATATCATCGTGACTTTGCCAATTGATGTTTAGATTTATGCATGAGCTTACTGGAATTGACAACCTATACCCCATTAGACACAATGGAAGGTCCACCCATTAGACTGAAGCCACTCACTAACTGAAAAAAAAACACCAAGCCGGCGAGACTACTGTTATGTATGTATGCCTAGGTTAGAAGCAACTTTAACTTGCAAACCCTGCCGATCATCACGACTCGGGCGCCAGTCATCCAACGTCCTGATCACCAAATAGAAACCGCACATGATGGGTTGCGTAATTATTCTGGTCTATTTCAAATCAAAGCACAGAGCGAGCAACTATCATTCAACTAATTGATCGTCTCAAAGGTCATAGGTGATGCGCGTACATGGAACTGGCGCATATGTCATAATATCAAAGATTTTTGAACATTAGATATTCCGTACGTCAAGCTCACCACGAGCGATATTTTGAAACCAAATTTCCCCAAACGCCTTCTAATGCTTAGCGGTGACGGTCTCGCCAGTCACCTTCTCAACGTAAGCCTTGGCCCTATAAACAGCGCGGTTAATATCGGTCAGGCTAAACGATGTGGGCGGCACTTACATATCGCCAAATGCAACCATGCAGACAGTCTGCCAAATTCCCAGAGAAATACGGGGAGCAATACCACGGTAAAGACCCTTGACACCGTTGGTCTCGTAAATGTATTTGAAGGTGTTGCCAACTGTCATTTTCTTAGGACGGTTGGGGTCCTCCTTCTTGCTCTGCATCTCAACGCGGATAACCTCAATTGGTTGGTTCCAAGCACTGAGACCACCACCGAGAGCACTGGCGATGACCTTCTCGCCAGCTGAGAGCTTCTCGCCCTCCTTCTTACCAGTCATGGACTTAATCCAGCCCTCAGCGAGACGCGACAATCCGAAGCGGCTACCCCAGTTGGTCATCTGGCGGATAGCAACGGCGTTGACACCCTTGTTGATGCCACGAATACCCTCCTTGCGGTAGATCTCGGCAAAGGTCTGGAAGGTAGACTGGGGCTTAACACCAGCGGCAGCGAGCTTGTGCTTGGTGATCTCAACTGTCTTCATGCAGGTGCAGAAACCCATAGTGGCATAGGCCTGAGCAACACCACCAGTGACACCACCAATGATACCACCACCAAACTCGGAAGCACCAGCGGAACGGGCGTAGTATTCGGCTTCGGAAGCGACGAAAAGGAGAACGGCACCCTTGGTAGAGGCTTCAATCCAAGCCCAGGGAATGAGACCTTGGAAGACTGCATATTATGGGTTAGCAAAACGTTGAGAACGTGTCGAATTGGCGGTTATCACTTACATCCCAGAGGACCACCACGAGCCCAGACGCGTCCCAAGGCCGTAGCCATGCTGTCGCCACGGTTTGCAGCCATAGTCGTTTTTACTACCTCAAGCGGCTTCGGGAGTTAATTCTATTGATTCCATTCAACAGAGGTGGTTGTTCACTTACCTGACCGAGGGTGGTAACCTCGAAAAGGTTGAGACCAGCGCCCAGAAGCAAGTTCGAGAACTTGACGGGCTTCTTCTCCAGCGTCTTCTCCCCGATGGGGCCTGGAAGATCGGTACGAATAGCAGCCATGACTTTGGGAGTGTCGTAGAATAAGGGGCCCTGACCAAGGGATTAGGGTGCTTCTTCGCTGAGGGGAGGGCTGAAAGGTTGATGGATGTTTTTCGAGAGGTTGTAGAAGAGAAGAAAGAGAGAAAAGGAACCGGAGCAGGGAAAAGAGAAAGGGATAAAGCTAGAGGCGTGCGCTGGGAAGGCTTGGGAGGTTACGTGGGGGGGAAGGAGCCAGGACCCGGGAGAGCTAGGGACAGGTTGTAGCGATGAGGTGAGGTGAGGCAGGAAGGTACGTACTGTAGATTTGATGGATGCTGAGTCAGATCCAATGAAAACAGTTGAATTACCTTTGGGGGAAAACGCTGAGCTTTAGGTACATCAGAAGCGAATAAGCAGACCAGAACAATAAGCTTAAGGAGGGAAAGAAGCCGCCCGGGAAGGCACCCGATAAACGGAGGGGAAATATGTACCAAGAATGGGGATGAATTTGCGGAGGTCAATGGCCGAGGTTCAACTGGTTATGGACATGCGCATGCGCGAGAAGACCCGAATTGATATCATTGAGCTCAGTCATTCAGTCAGTCAGTCACTTTATTGTTTTACATGTGTTTCGGCCTGTAATTGCTGATGAGGGGGACTGAGAAGCTTCCTGGTAATGTTCGGCACGTTTTGTAAGGCTGACGACGCTATTCCAACCTAACACTGTTGTACTGTCTATGTCTATTCTTAGAGGGAGGAAAAGGTTCAAATAATGATTACTACAACGGCTGAAAAGCTGCGTATGTAATGCTGACCTTGGTCTCGCATACAGATTCCAAACACCGATGACACTATGCGGAACTTTTCGCCTGTCGTGCCTGTGCGACATGATTTCATTGGAAGCCGACAGCTCGTATGACCGAGATAAGATCGGATTTGAGCTGAATCTCTCATGTGAAATCGAAATAGAAATCCGGGGGTGGATGTCCTGGGCTTCTGCCCAGCAGAAAGAAGACCGATGAGGGGAAGAAAATTGCTTGTGATTATGGATATATCTGTCCTGGTTCGGGCATGTTTTTTTTTTTTTAACGATTCTATCTCTCTCCTTCTCTCGTGAGACCTCCTTACCGCTGCATATCTCTCACTGCTGCAGCTTCCATCCTGTGGCTGTTACAGGCTTGCAGTAAAGTTCAGAATGCTTGCAGGCTGAGCTGAGTTGTCCGAGTTGAGGTCGGGACCCGGGTACTTACTACTCAACAGCTTTCAATCACCACCAAACCTCTAACGAAATGCAAAACTATCCTTGAACTGAACCTCAAAAGACAGACATGCAGCCTCATCCACTTCTTTCTACTTCCCCATTCGGTAATACCATCAGCCACCCCCCGAAGATCGCAGCTCTCACCTCTATTTTCATCCAAGTTCCCCTGTGGCGCCAATTTAGAGGAGCTCTCAACGCCCCTCCTCCACTCAACTGTTGAGAGCTCGTGTCCGCATGGGGATTTTGTCGGTGTGATCTCTCACCGAGACTACGAAGCTTGAACGTACCGAACCTTCAATGCATGGTTTCGGTGCTTTTCGCTGCATTCTTTTCTTCCAGAGGGCATAATTTAACCCACCTATTAGAGAAGGCAGAGTTTAATAATTGCTTATCGTGTTGGTGACCACAACAGGATTTGCATTTCGAACAAGAAACGGGGCCTGTAGGTACAGTCCCAAAGGCTCATCTTTTTTTAGTGCGTGGGGTCAACAGACCCCATTCAAAAAAAGCTTCAGAGCGAGAACATCGTGATTTTAAGAATAATCACCAAGCGATTGTTACTGCGCTAATTGGTAGCTACAGCACCATCAACACGCTGCAAGTAATAGATAACAGATTCACAAAATAGATAGAAGTAACAGATTAACTGTCAAATCATTTCATTTCAATCGGCGCTCCAGCGACGACTTGCTCATTACTAAACTAAAACAGTCCCATTGTGTTGTACAAATGCCATTGACTCGGCAATCCATTCTGCCCATCTTCTGAGCAAAATCCTCCCATCACCTTCTTTTTCCCTTTCGCTTTTAATTCCTTTACAGCTTCTTGACGAGCTCAGCCCACTTGTCAGTGGAGAAGGACTTGGGTCGCTCGATGGGGGCACCGAGAGCGCGGTCAATGATGAGCTGGGGAAGGACACCAATGGCGCGGGAGACACCGAAGAGGACGGTGTAGTAGCTAGCCTCAGTGAGACCGTAGTACTGGAGGAGGACACCGGAGTGGGCGTCAACGTTGGGGTAGGGGTTCTTGGTCTTGCCGTGCTCGGTGAGGACACCGGGGGCGATCTTGTAGACCTGGGAGACGAGGTTGAACATGGGGTCGTTGGGCATCTTCTCCTGGGCGAAAGCACGCTGAGCCATGTAACGGGGGTCAGTCTTTCGGAGAACGGCGTGACCGTAACCGGGGACAACACGGCCGGCGTTGAGGGTGGACCAGAGGTAGTCGGTGATGGCCTTGTCGCTAAGGTCGTCGCCGACAGACTTCTTGAACTCGGTGAGCCAGTTAAGGACCTCCTGGTTAGCAAGACCGTGGAGGGGGCCGGCAAGACCGTTAAGACCAGCGGCGAGAGAGAGGAAGGGAGAGCTGAGGGCACTGCCGACAAGGTGAGTGGTGTGGGCAGAGACGTTGCCACCCTCGTGGTCAGTGTGGATGGTCAGGTAGAGACGCATGAGCTCAACGAAGTCGGCGTTGTCGGCGAAGCCAAGCTGGTTGGCAAAGTTGAAGGAGTAATCCTTGTCCTTCTGGATAGGAGCGACCTTTCCGCCCTTGAAGACGTTCTGGTAGATGCGAGAAGCGATGTTGGGGAGCTTGGCAATGAGGTCCATGGAGTCCTCAAAGGTGTAGCCCCAGTACTCCTTCTTGTTGATACCCTTGGCGTAGGCCTTGGCGAAGCTGGAGGTGTGCTCGAGAGCAGTAACGGCCAGAGAGAACTGAGCCATGGGGTGGAGGTCGGTAGGGCAGTGGTCGATGAGCTCCTCGACGAACTTGGGGAGATCGGAGCGGGCAGCCCACTCGGCGGAGAGGTCGCGGACCTGCTGCTCGGTAGGGACCTCACCGGTCAGGAGAAGCCAGAAGAGACCTGTGAGATTTCTGTCAGCACCAAGACTGTGCATTTCTGTGATGAATTCTACTCACCCTCAGGAAGGGGCTCCTTGCCACCGGGAGCCTTGGGGAGAAGCTCCTGGCACTCAGGGATGGTCTTGCCACGGAATCGGATACCCTCCTCAGAGTCGAGGACGGAACCCTCCCAAACGAGGGCCTTGATGCCACGGGCACCACCGTAGACCTGGTCAAGAGTGACCTTGTCAATGACCTTGGAACCATGCTCCCTGTGAGGACGTTAGCTTGAATGTTCAATCGCTTGTAGGTTTGCCGTCGATTTTATGCAGGCATGAGGCTCGGGGTGGACCCAAGCTTCGGCAGACAATAAACCGAGGGGAGAGAATGCGACTGACTTTCGGAGAGCCTTGACCTGCTCAATCTTCTCGGGCAGCAGCTCGGCGAATCGCTCCTTCAGGGTCTATGACGATGACGATTGTTAGCATGTTGTTCTTGTATTGAATGCCGAGTCTTTCTTGTGTTCTCCAATGGATAGGTCGTGACATGACGTCCATGGATAGCAAGATTTTGGGACTCGACTTTACCCGAGGTTAAACAAAACATACCTGGGTCTTGGCGGAGTAGCATCGAACGGCGTTGAAGACAGAGCCATTGACGGGAGTAGAGCGGAGGGAAGCCCGGAGGGCGGCATTACTGAGACGAGTGACTGAAGCCATTGTGAAGGGAGGATGGATATGCAGACGAAGAGAGGACAAGAAACAGGCGGGTGTGCCGGAGGGAGGTCAGGTAGGTATATATGAAGGATGGAGGGGAGAAAAGTTATGGGGAAGAAGAAGTTCAGGCAAGGTAAGCCAAGCCAAGACGAGACGAGACAAGATAATAGGTAGAAAAAAGGCGCAGACAGTTTGATGAACAAAATTACCTTGGATACAGTGACATTGGTCCTCACCTTGGCTCTACCTTGGGCGCGAGTACCTTTACCTCTTTGCCTTTACCGTCCAGGCTTTAGGTCTCGCTCAGAACCTCGGGGACCGGGGGTACGGGGGGTACGGGGGGACTCATGGATGGACATGAAGCATCAAGCGGAGCGGGACTTATGGGGCAGACAGCCCGGTTTTCCCTCTACTTGACGGATTTACAGGGGTCACCTAACACATTTTTTCTTTCCTGCACCTCTGCCTCACCTGGACTGTCAGGGGTGTTGATGTCGTTTCTGGGGACAACCGTTGTTGTTTTCTTTTCTTTCTTTGGATTCTGTCATGAAGATGATATTTTGGCAGCTAATAGCTTAACTTAGGCACTACTCTGCGGGGCAAATTAGTACCAGGTAGTGAGAGAGCTTCAGGGCATCATTTGTTGGAGAAGTGACCTACTTTTTGGTTCAATCCAACGCAATCCAATCTAATCTGAGCGACGGTAGTCTCGATTACATTACATCACATCAGAGCTCGCTACTGCTCGCTTCACCAAAGCACAGCACCCTCTTTTTGACGTGCCCAGCTATGCATTCCGTCATCAAGTGCTTGCTGGGTAGCATTTGCCAATACTTAAGACTGATAGAACATGAATCCAGGTCAATTGAAGTGCCTTGTCAAAATTACAGTATCGTTGGTGTATCTCTGAGTACCTCTGGTACATGGAGTACGGGATGGATCCATATCCATCGATTGCCATGCTGTCCTCTTTTCTGTATGAGGTTGCACAGGCCAAAAAAAATTATAACCTGGAAAAAAATAATTGAGCTACAGTACGCTACTTCACAAGAGGAGCATTTACCGCGGGCCACCCCAACCTGAAAGCCCCAAAAGTTCGGGCCAATCCTTGTCTCTTCTCTCCCGCCTCCTCTAATTCGACACTTCAACCAAATCGCCGAACAGAATGTGAAAAGGATGGGACCCCAACCAACCAACCAGCCAACCAATCTAGATAGAGGTCCAGGGGTTGTGGTGGTTATTTTTGATCTGAATCAAGACAAAACGAGAGGGCTCGCGGCTGCATCTCGGCACCAGATTCACGCTTGAATTGGTGCGTTCATTATGCAACGCCAGTCTCTCCATGAATTGGACATCTATCCAACTTGTGACTACCCACGCAAACCAGTAAGGAGATATGATCAAAGTGAAGAGTATCAATCCAAGATCTGCTTGACAGGGTTCTGCTCATATTGTTTACGTTCATTGACTGTCCACTTTTTTTCATTGTACACCTAAAAGTCCAGGTCCAGGTCCAGGTTCATCATGACAACTCTCGGAACTATTGCGCTGCCGCAACTTACCCGCTTGTTCTCCGGCTATTCCATCCATGATAATGTACTCTGTCTCTACTGTACTGTAGAAATATTGCTTGGTCTCCACTGAACGAGCCCTTTTGAATGAACGAGTGGGGATGGTATCGCAAATGCCTTCCTTTGTTTGGCTCATGCTTCGGGGGACCTCGGTCATGCTGGTGGTTGTCAAAACTTGACGTCAGAGCCTAGTTGAATATTGACACTCAATACTAGAGCCAGATTCATCCTAGGGAGTGACAGAAAATCTTCAGGGTGCAGGAAATAAATAGACCACGAACTGTTCTGATTCGTGACAAGTCTAGCTAACTAGTTGACTGACTACCTTAGTACTCGACCTGACCTTGACCGCTGATAAAAACCAGAATTAGGTAAATCAAGACGCCCGAACCGAAACTACCGTGACCCATCGCCGGGCCTCCGAGTTGATCGCCGCAGAACTTCGGAGTGCCGAAGCTCCCCTTCCACCGGGTAAGCGATATCCTTTACCGTAGTGATCATCCGGAAGTTTTTGTGCTGGCTGCGAGGACATCAACTTCCAGACATGAAACGTGAATCCATTCGTATCCTGTTTTGTCAAACATTCAACTCCAAGCCTCCAACTCGAATCAGTATTTCCGCACGCCCGGTCACCTCGGTTGCTTAAAAACCACCAACATCGGTTATTCTTGTCTCTGATCTTATTGCATTTACGTAGCGGTATCTTTGAGAGGGGAAAGAGGCATCTTGGCATTTTTGTTTGCCGATTCGTGTCATGTATTTCAACAACCACGGCGTGCGTATCGTGGGTCTATTATCAATTAATATCTAGCCATCTGTTTCACGTACCGCTTCAAGGCCCTGGCGCTTGATACTAACTCAGGACAGAGACAGAGACTGCTTATTGCCGCCACGCCTAAGCCCAACATTGTTCTTATCGGGTTCTTTGAGTACTTGGCGTGTAAGCTTACAAACTTGAGATCGCGCTGCTACGGGACTACTTTCTTTAGAATGGTCTTTGTTAATGTTTGCTATATCGGTCAAGACTCTACTACGCACTACTGAGGTACCTAACTGTGACACAAAATTCCAGGTTCAGTAAGGATTTAACACGGACGTGTTGGGGAGTAAATAAGAGAGTATCCTCCATGGCTTAGACTACTAAAATAAAGTATCATAGGTGGTCACCTAATCTAGCATAAGGTGGCCTAAATTATTTCGTCTCTTATGCTCTTGACTGTCAATTCTTCTGATGCCTGACAGGGGTGTATGTCAGACAAAGAGGTCCCTACTGAGAGCTAACCTAACACCTCGAGCTTAAGTGCGCAGTGCTATTTATTGTTCAAAGAACCAACAAAGAAAAAATCGAGTCCGAGGCAAATGTCTTTGTAAGTAGGCAGTTCGAGATAATCATACATCATGTTGACTTCCAAGAAAAGCATTGAAGCCAACTGGAAGGGTTTTGGGTATTCACGTGATCTCGATAAGCAACACTTCTGGCACCGGATAAACTGACAGCGGAACGGGCAAGATTTTTGACTGCCCAAGCAGGATATGAAAGAGTTAAAAGGGCTGCCCCACCTGTCACGCTCACTCGACTCAGCTTTCCTCTTCCCACTTCACATTTCCATCATCATCATTGTCCTCCCGTCGCGACAATCTTCTTCACGACATTCATCACCCGCCTGTCGGAGGTTAATCCCCAAGAACGATTGCTCTCTTCTCTGCGCTGCTAGGCCAGATCGTCACTTCTTGTGCTTTCCATCGACTATCTATATTTCTCGACTTTTTGTCTCTAGTACTGACAAATCTTTCGACCCTGACAAACACGACAGCATAGAATAAGGCAACATCGCCTCTACCTGTTTCTCTTGCCTTGGCTTAGCTCCTTCTGACAGCCACTGCACACACAATCTTGTGACTCGTCGCGCTTCTGACGCAAAGCAAACAGTAGAAGAGCTTTTCTCGCAAGTCGTACCGTACCGTATCGTACTCCTGAGGCCTTCCTTCGCTTGTATTATTATATTCTTGCGCCTAGGCCTTCAACTGATAACCTACCTACTGCATTGTTGGTGCTCGTACTACTTCTTCGCCGGTCGCGATTGCGTAAAAAAGATCTTCACACCTGCCGAAAACATAAGCGACGAAATAATTTGGGTTATCTTAGGCAAGCTTAGGCAACTTTTATTTTTGGCAGTATAAGCCTTAGAGGAAGGGCCCGCTTTTACGTACCTGATTCCATCGCTTTGCTTCTCTCTTGTGCACACAACACCAAACCAACCTCTACCAAATCAGACTGCCATGGCTTCCGCAGTTGCGGATTTAGAGGCTGGCCTGCAGGCTATGCTGGGCCTGAAGCCGCCAGGTGTATCTGGATCTCGCATCACCAGTCTGACTTCTCTTTGCGTTTCCAACATTCAGGTAAGACTGCCAAGTTCGCCTTGTCTTGTATATTCGCAGAGGGCATCGTATACTAACTGTACCGTGCAGTCCGAATCAGTTCTTATTCAAAAAATCTTCACACACTTCAAGAAGGCGCCTGGAACACACAAGTTGGGGGTACTCTACGTCGTAGACTCTGTAACCCGAAAATGGCTCGAGCAAGCCAAGACACAGGCACAGGCAATAGACAGCTCTGCACCGGATGGAACATACGCCGCCGGCGTCAACCGAGTGACAGAACTCATGCCTGTATTGATGAATGATATCCTACAATCCGCCCCGGAAGAGCAAAAGGTACGCATATTTGACGATCACCCTTGTAGAGCATCGTGAAGCATCTTGCAAAGCGCCCGTGCTAGCGTGCCTCTCGCTTCTTGACATATCCGACCTCCATACTGCTATTTTGGATCGTAACTCACACATAATCCACCGTATAGGAAAAGATTAAGAAACTTCTTGACATTTGGGAGAAGGGTCAAACATTCCCTACATCACTGCTCGAGTCCTTCAGAGAAAAGCTCAGCGCACCACCACAAAGTACGTTTTTTCGGGCGTTTTGCGCTCTAGGCTCTAGGTATAGGCATGTAAATCTAACATATGTGATGTTATAGATGAGTCAACAACCCCTCCCGGCAGCCCGCCTACGAATGCTCTCGGTTCGGTTCGAGGCAGCGCTTCTACTACTCCCGCTCCTTCAGCGCCCGCTGCTCCTCCTGCCCCTACCGGCACATCTGTTCTTGAGGCTCTGGCCAACATCGCCCGTCAGAACACGAGTGCCCCAGCTAACCCACCCATGCCAGCTCCTGCAGCATCGTATAGTATGCCTTCTTCAGGCACACCCCAGCCGGTATCATCTGCCATGCCGCCTGTATCGTATCCTGCGGCATCGCAGCCTGTGAGCATGCCTTCTATGCCCTACGGACTCCCTCATATGGCAGCCCAAAATGGATATGCAGGCTCTCCTCTAAACAACCCGAGTAACCCACCTCCTAACCCGCTCGTCGGGGCCTTGTCTGGAGCCGCTGCTGCAGCCCCTGGTCTTGGACTTGATCCAAACACCCAGCAACAGATTATGTTGATTAAGGCGCTGGCCGACCAAGGTGTCCCATTTGATAAAATCCCAGCTCTGATCCAGAGCATGACTGGTGGTGCCGTAGCTGGTGCTGTTCCCCCGGCTCAGCAGCCTATGCCGTATGCACAAAACACTCCCGTTCCTGCCCAGTCTGCGTGGGGTGCCCCTTCAGCCAAGCCAGATGATTCGCGCATGTCTGGCTACGGCCATACAAGATCACCTCCTAGATATAATGGACGCTCTCGCTCACGATCCCCTGACCGTGGCTGGGGTGCTCGTGGCTCGCCTCGGAACGGACGTGATCGCCTAGACTATGGCCGTGACTCTCCCAACCGCGGCCGTCATGATGATCGCCGCGGAGGCGATTATCGCCAGCGTAGCCCTCATGGACACCGTGGCCGAAGTGAAACCCCTATTCACGAACAAGGTCCGGCCGAGAAATGGGTCGAGTACGATTCAAGCCTTCCATCAGGCCACATTAAAGTTTTCAGCCGAACACTCTTTGTCGGCGGCGTAACGTAGGTGTCTCTCAATTCCACAATATGTGAGGTCTACTAACCATAAGAATTAGTTGCTCTGAGAGTGAACTGCGTGGCATCTTTGGCCGTTTCGGCACCGTACAAACATGTATTGTAAACAAGGACAAACGACATGCATTCGTTAAGATGCTCAGCCGACAGGATGCTGTCGCCGCTAAGCAGGGTACTGAGGATTCCCGCAACTTGGATGTACCTCTACGTGTAAGTATTTGCGTTTGGCGTCTGCAATCATGACATGAGCTAACATTGGCAGACTCGTTGGGGTGTTGGTTTCGGTCCTCGAGACTGCAGCGACTATTCGACGGGTGTTAGCATTATCCCCATTCACAAACTGACGGAGGCTGATCGCAAGTGGATGTTGACCGCTCCGTTTGGTGGAAGCGGTGGACGACCCATTGAGACTGGTTTGTCTGTGGAGGAACCCGATATTGAGATAGGAGCTGGAGTATCTTCAAAGGCCATCAGCCGGCGCATGCAGACAGATAAGGGCGGTAGCAACGGGCCCAAGTCTACTCGTAACCGGGACGAGGACCTCTCCAGGTGGCGTCGAAGCCGCGACAATGGCAGCAACAACAGTCACCCTCGCCGAGACGATCACCGTGACCTTCCTCAAGAAGGACAGGGCTTGGCTTCTACATTCCCCTTCGGTATCGGCACGTTGCCAAACGGCATGCCCAACTTTCCCGCTGGTTTCTCATTCCCCGATCCTACTAACTAGAGATCCATTTCGGGAGGGACGCGTGCAGTTATATAAATGATACCCAGGACACGGAAATGGAAGGGCACTTGTCGGTTACATATTGGTTTCCCTATATGCTCTGATCTGCGGAGATGGTGGCGTTGTTGGCAATTTGGCACGGGTTCTTGCATTGCTTTGCCCTAAGCAGGCAATCAGCCGGGGTTAGTCGGCTTCATAAAGGCGTAAGGCGTAGTGATGGCCAGACGTATTTTTAGTAATTAGTTAATGAGGGTCAGGAAAGTATGAAAAGTTATTTGCCGTTTCACAAAGATATTGCCTTGATGAACATGTAAACTCGATAGCCTGGCACCTCTAAGGCATAGGGTGCCAAAATAAAGTAGTCTAAGTGCCTGTGTGAGCTAGCATAAAGTGATAAATTATTTCGTCTCTTATGCCGATGACCATTTCTTCGAATACCCTGAAGGGCCAGCCCGTGTTATTACTACACATTGCAGCGTAGACATAGTTCACCTCCAAATCTTGGTTTCATACTAACCCGTTTCTTTATATTGCTAGTATAGTGATTTTATCCTGAGCTTGAAATTGTTGAAGTGTTCTTTTGCTAACGCGTCGTTCTCATAAGTGCTACCCAGGCAGAGTTTGTGTGCCCTGACAAACTCATAACCTGCTAGTGCACACTATTCCCGAGTGTATCTTGTTTGTTGATGTCTTTAAAGTCGATGACAATTCCGTGAGAGCTTTGATTGCGTACGGTCCTGCAATGAAAGGTGTTTGTTTAGCATTGACCTGGCATCTCAGTGACGATTCCGCCTAGAGGCTTTGGAAGACTATCTTCTCTATTTCTGTGCATTGGAGGCATAGTATTGACCCTTCTTAACTATGGCTCAAATGCTAGATAGCCAATGGTAAATAGGGGTTGTGCTGTTGTAGGTTGCCATGCGGCCATCTGCAGGGTAAGCAGTGCGATGTTTATACACAATCAGAAGTGACCCGAAAACAAACGGCGTCTTGTCGTGGGTTTCTGTATGCTTGGTTGAGCTTACTATGTGCTTGAAAGATATAGAGGTGCAACAAAGCGACCGTGGATGGGTGTCGACTCTTACAAACAAAGGCGGAGCGACGAAGTTACTGTGACTGATCGGCTTTTGGCGAGAATGAGAGCAATCACTCAGAGCCCATATTTTGAGTCTTATATCTATGATAAAGGAGACATACAACATAAAGATTTATTATTGTTTATTAGAAGCATATAATGTTTCGTGATTTATAACACGTCGTTCCGTCATGATGAAAACTAAAGGTCAGCAAGCAATATGCCCCCAATGGAAGTATTTCCTAGCTCTCTATTGTTACGTGGGATTCATTCATTAGTACCTTTGTATTTATCCTAAGATGTCCTATGAGCGAGTGTGTATAATATATCGCCTTGGTAAACTCGAGTCGATGTCACGAAGCTGAGAGGCGGTCTATGGGAACTCAACCACCACTGCTGTTGAGGCGGACATGGAGAATTCATTTAGTGTTTTTCTGTCTATTTGAGTTTCAAAGTATATGGTTCTTCTCACTTAGAAGTAGCAGCGTGAGAATGTGGTTGCATATCTACATTGGTTTGGTGAGACGGTATGGCGTCTTTATACTCGATTGTATGATTGCCTACTGCTTGATATGAGCAGTGGTTTGGATGACTACAACCCGCATTTAGAGAGTTCAGAAGAGCCCTGTTCTTTTCTCTGACGATTGTCGTTTATGTAGATGAGTTTCACACATTGGAGTGGGTTAGGCTTTCTTTCATATTTGAAGGCAAAAGACATCACCCAGTTAATTCCCTTACTTACACTTGACAGTCAGGATCACCATGTATTGAGACTCCATCACGATGACTCAAAAACGGGGCCACGACTTCGCTCTGCCATGAGCAGACAACAGCATACATTTCTCGCTCATCACTCAAAAGAACTAGTCTACCCTGCATGTATTCAGCACCACTATTGCGCGACAAACGATATCCTATTACTGTATGAATCTCACCAATTCTTCACTCTCATCTCCCTGCATTCCCGAACCCAGCTGACCTCGTCGATACGATCCAGATCGTCACATCCCCTGAATGACATTGACATTAACATGTACGGTGAACAATTCCAGCCTTTCCTCATTCTCTCCGAGGCATATGCCAAGATGATCCTGCGAGTCTCTGGAACTGGCGACCAAATACTTAGTTGGATACTCAGAGTCGTATAGGACCTGACTAGCAATTCGCCGAGAGAGTTCCCAATACGCTCATAGATTGTCCTGCTGTCTACCATGTTACGTATCTGAAGTTAGCTAATACTAATACATCGTGACCAGGTTAAGTCAAGTTCTCGAACCCGCCCCATGGGGGCTGTTAATGTTTGGGGTATAGTGCGAGATTTCTTGTTCCCCTGACTAGGTATGGATCACTATCGGTCTGGCTTTTGGACATAGTCGCAGTTTGAGAATTACGTACATGGTTGGTCTTGAGGAAAGTACTGTTGTCGCTTTCAATTTATCTTGGTCTTTATTGTTGTTTGAGACATTGTATGTAAAAGTGACTCATCATCATCAACAAACTGGCTGCCCTTTCGTCCCAATTGAGTACAGAAAAAGACAGATGGCATCCCTGATTGACGAGTGTTATCTTTGACTTGCCAAAATTAGCATCAGAAATGTCTAGCTGTCCTGTCTTGTTCATTCTGCAGGTACCATAGTCTAGTACCTTACATATCAGACTAACTTAGGTGGTATAAGTGAGCCCTCTGAGCAGGAACTAATTATTATGATGCGGATCCCTTCATCCACAGCTTGGATCCAGCGCAATATCCCACTGCATACCAATCAGAAGCCCATCGAAATGTATCAATTTACAGTAAAGACTCCGGGCTGAAACCAGAATGATATGCCGTCCTGCTATAGTCAGTCTAGAGGCTGCGGGTCAGGATACCCAACACCCAACACCCAACACCCACGCCCAAAGCATGCGCTGTAATCTTACTCCATACCCGCCGATTTTCCTTCAATCGTAGCAAAACAACCATGTCCATATTGTGTCGATTTGAGTCTAGTCGACTCAATTGAGTCCGAAATTAACGGAGCCACAATACATCAGCCCCTTGAATGTGCATGCAGGTCATCCATACTGTACGTACGTTGGCTCATTGATAGAGAATTAGAGAGGAAAGAATTTTATTAACAGTAGACATTGAGGAATGCTGACTGAAAACGAAAATACGTGCATCCATCCTCGCTCAGTCAAGAATAGAATTGCCCAGAGTCTTGGATAAGAACACGAGGGTAAAATGTGACCATTCATCACATCATACAACATTGGCAACTAATGACAATCAATTCTTGGCTCTTGGCTCTTGGCTTTCCGCTCCTGTTTCTTCGCACGTCCTGCAACACCGGACGGTCTTGATCAAGAGCCAAGAGCCAAGAGCCAAGAGCCAAGAGCCAAGAGCCAAGAAAAACATTGCAACATCGGAATACTTGGCATCGGTAGTCACCGTCTTGGTATTCTTGGTATCTCGAATGATCCACGTAGGCCCATATGATGAAAAATAATATCGGGATCCGACTTCTGCATCGTGGTTGATTCGAATCTGAGATGTCTAAGATATTCGAGTCTTATGAGACGCGTCGTCAGCCATTGAGGCTTATTTAGTCTTTGGAACACAGAACGCGTGCATCAGTGATTCAAGGCCGCTCTATAGCTACCAGTAGTAGTTTGTGCTACGGAACACAGGTTAGAGGTCTGCGCAGTCGCAGATTTCTTGTAGCCAGAAGGCCACGACGCACTATGCGCAATGATACACGTGGCTGAGCACTCAAGCAAGATTTGTATAGTATCCGTATTTTGTCTTCCTTGGATTGTCTTGCGATGACACTCACGGCATATGATGATAGCCTCCGGTCGTGCGGAAGGCTACCGTGTGTATATGCACGTCCATCTTGGCCGTGTAGCGGTGTTTGAACGCAGTAGAAACGAAACACCAGGTTACATGGCAAATCGGATAATGCAACTATGCGTTCAATGACCGAGGGATAATTGTTTCATTAATCGGTCATTTCTCGCTTCATAGGTCTTGGCATCCCGGAGCGATGGAAGATCGAATTGATGATGCAGCCAGTGTAGTTGCGCAACACAAAAGCACTCACTCTGCTTCCCTCAGAGATGGTGAGGAAAGATAACAAGCAGAAGCAGGCATTGGGGGCAGCAGTCTGATGGCTCGCAGTTCTGTGTATGTAAACTGGCGGCTGGGCATTGACTGGCCAAGATCCGGGGGGTGACATCCTAGAAGGTAAGCATCAAGACGGTCAAGACAGCTCCACGAATGTCGACATGCTTGCTTGGCGACTTGCTTGGCTTTCGTTTTCATATACGTCCGTCCATCCGTCTTCGGCTCCGTGATACCTTCTTTCTTTGTCAGTCGCGAGCCGCGCTTAATTAATCTTTACGATAACCATGCTTTTGTACGGATGTGACAGGGTGTATCGAGGCATTCTGCGACTTATGTTATCGTTTCTTGCCTGCCCTGTAATAGTACAGTAGTACGGAGTACCGTCCGCGATTGTATGAGTGAATTTGCTGATGGGACGGCAGCGACGGGATGCAGGGTCCTCTGAAAAACTCGGATCCGTCAGGTCCGTCCATCCTGGATATCCAGCATCCATGATCCACCCACAATTGAATCGTGTGCTGTGCTCCAATTTTTCGCTCTTGACTAGCCAAATATTCTACGAAGCCGGCGAGAATGGATTCTTCTCCATCAAATCCCGCGCCAAAGTCGTGGAGCCTGGAGAAATCCTTTTTTGAAAATGGAGACTTCTTCTGATAGCAGCGCAGTATTGTACATGTACAGTACATGCTGCTGAAGAAGAAAGATGCTGTCGGAAGCTGACCGCTAAGGCGTTCTCCATCGTCGATCACTGATCCTGGTCTGTCCTGTCCTGTATCGCAACTGCAGTCGTTGTCAACCAGCTCTGCTACGCTGTGAAGA